CCTGAGCCAAAGGCAGACGCTTAACCTACAGAGCCACCCGGATGCCCCCCAACTTGGGACTTTTAACTAATATGCAGGGATGATTGAGAATCACTGCACACATTACTTGATCTTCTTTCCTATTCCTATTTGCTACTGTGTTCTCACTAACATGAAGTCTACTTAACCAGTGACAGATATGTTTATCCATTTATTCAAGTCTTTTATTTCTGACAGTGAAGTGCTGTAATTGTCTTTGCATATGTTCTGTATGTCTCTTACTAGATTAATTCTTAAACATGTATATTCAGTCTTCTATACCAAAATCAGGATAAAGTACAAATAAATCTAATCAATCTGATTATAGAGTTTTGTATATCCTGTTCTGAGTTTATAACTACAGATGTTTGTGTCCATGTTTGCATTTCTCGGAAAAGGATTCTTATTAGGCCAGTGGGATCATTTCTGGTAGTCTCTGTTACCTAAGAGCCCTATGGTGTTAATATTAGCCAGCCAGTGGAGATCTTTTAGTTCATTGACTGAACTTAATATCTCTGTGCTAGGAGCTGATGGCAGATGGATAAGACAGTTTCTTTATTATGAAGCATCTAGCAGTGGTCATTACATTCATATATATCAGTACACTATTTCAAGCTCTCCCTTGGCTCCTACAGGGGTCAGAATAGCTGAGCAAATAAATTCTGAGCTTGTGTTAGTAGAGTGTAGGAATTAAGAGCATTGGTCCTGGAGGCAAATAGCCTGGGATTATATCTTCACTTTATTAACTAGCCATGAGGTCCTGGGCAGTAACTTAACCTCTCTATACTCAGTCTTCTGTAAAGAGGGGATAATAACAATATTTATTTCTTGAGGTTGTTATGGGAATTAAATGAGTTATATGTGTAAAGTCTTTAGAACACTACCTGGTATATAATAAGCACTTAATATATACTATTATTATTTGGGGACAGGGGGATTGACAAGTGGCACTAAAAGGATGATGAACAGAGTGCAGAACACAGAGGAAGACATTATTTAGGGCATCTTTTTTTTTTTAAGATTTTATTTATTCATTTGAGACACAGAGATACAGAGAGAGAGAGAGCACATGTAGGGGGAGAGGCAGAGGGAGAGGGAGAAGCAGGCTTCCCACAGAGCAGGGAGCCCGATGCGGGGCTCGATCCCAGAACTCTGGGACCATGACCCGAGCCGAAGGCAGATGCTCATTTAGGGCATCTTTAAAACAAATTTCCTCTTTTGCTTTCTCTTCTCTCCTTTCTCCTTCCCTTTCCTTCTCTTCCTTACCTCTCCTTCCTAACAATTCAGTCCAAAATCCATTAGGTAGGTCCAAAGAAGGAATACTATGAACAGTTATATGCCAATAAATTAGATAATACAGATTAAATGAATACATTTTTAGGAAGACAATACTAAAACCAATTCAAGAAGAGTCAATCTAAATAGACCTATAACAAGTGAAGAGATTAAATTAGTAATCAAAAACTTCCCATAAAGAAAAGCCCAGGCCCAGATAGCTCCACTGCTGAATTCTACCAAACATTTAAAGAAGAGTAAATACCAATTCTACACAAATTCTTCCAAAAAGTAGGAGAGGAAAACTTTCCAACTTATTCAATGAGACCAGTATTACATAGATACCAAAACCAAACAAAGACATCACAAGAAAACTACAGATCAATATCTCTCATGAATATGGATGCAAAAATCCTCAACAAAATGCTAGCAAACCAAATCTAGCACATAAAAAATAATTATATACCATGACCAAATGGGATCCATTGTAGGAATGTGAAGATGTTTAACATTCAAAAATCAATTAAGGTAAAACACTATAGTGAAAAAATAAAAAGCAAAACCACATGAACATCTTAAAAGATGCAGAAAAAAAGGCATTTGACAAAATCCAATAAATAGCCTTTCATAATTTTAAAAAACTAAAAGAAAATGTCATCAACTTGATAAAGGGCATCTACAAAAACCCCACAGCTAACATCATACTAAATAGTAAATGACTGGAACCTTTCCCCCTAAGATCAGGAACAAGACAATAATATACACTCTCACCACTTCTTTTTAACTTTGTACCAGAGGTTCTAGACATAATTAAGGATGAAATAAAAGATATTCAGATTAGACAGGAAGAAGTAAAACTGTCTCTCTGCAGATGGCATGACCTTGTTGTATAGGAAAATCCCGAGAAACAAATTACCAATAAACAAGTTCAGCGAGATTGAAGAATACAAGACCAATATACAAAAATTGATTGCATTTCTATACACATGCAATTAACAAGCCAAAATGAAATTAAGAAAACAATTTTATTTTCAATAGCATACATAAGAATAAAATACTTAGAAATAAGTAACAAATAAGTGCAAAACCTATACTCTGAAAACTATGGAACACTTTCAAAAGAAATTACAGAAAATATAAATATTTGAGGAAACATCCCATGTTCATGGATTGGAAGGTTTAATATTGTTAAAATGGCATTACTTCCCAAATTGACCTACAGATTCAACATAATCCCTATCAGAATCCTAACTGACTTCTTTGTAGACATTTATAAGCTGATTCTAAAATTCATATAGAATTTCAAAGGGCCAGAAGAACCAAAACATTCTTGAAAAGGAACAAAGTTGGAGGATTCATACTTGTTGATTTCAAAACTTAACTACAAAGCAACAGTAATCAAGAAAAGTGTGGTACGGGGCACCTGGGTGGCTCAGTCGGTTAAGCGTCTGCCTTAGGCTTAGGTCATGATCCTAGGGTCCTGGGATTGAGCCCCACATCAGGCTCCCAGCTCAGCGGGGAGTCTGCTTCTTCCTCTCCCTCTGCCCCTACCCCCTGCTCATGTTTGCTCTTTCTCTCTCTCTCAAATAAATAAATAAAATTAAAAAAAGACATGTAGATTAATGGAATAGAAATGAGCATCCAGAAATGAATTTATGTGACTGTGATGTTTCAACAAGGATGCCAAGACCATTCAATGTGGAAATGAATAGACTTCTCAACAAATGGTGGTGGAACAATTAGATAGCCACTTACAAAATAATCAAGTTGGATCCTTACCACATACTATCTATCAAAATTAACTCAATAATAGAAACCTAATTCAAAAGGGATCAAACACCTAAAGGTAAATATTAAAACTACACAACTCTTAGAAGAAAACATAGGAGTAAATCATTATGTGCTTGGATTTGGTAAAGGATCCTTAGATCTGACACCAAAAGCACAACTTAAAAAAAAAACAGATGATTTGGATTTCATTAAAATTAAAAACTTTGACACTTCAAAGGACAGCATCAAAAAGTAAAAAGAACCACAGTAGGGGAGAAAATATTTACAAATCATATATGTGATAAGGGACTTTTATCCAGAATATGCAAAGAAATCTTACAACTCAATAATAAAGACAAATAGCCTGATTTAAAAATGGGCAAAGGATCTGAATAGAGATTTCTCCAAGGAAGATATGCAAATGGATATTAAGATCATGAAGGATGCTTGACATCATTTGTCATCAGGAAAATGCAAATCAAACCCATAACACAATACCACTTCATGCCCACTACAATGGCTAGACTCAAAAAAGCAGAAAATAAGTGTTCAGGATGTGGAGATATCCAAACCCTCCTACACTGCTAGTGGGAATGTAAAATGGTGCAGCTACTTTGGAAAACAGTCTGTAAGTTCCTTGAAAAATTAAACATATAGAGTTGCCATATGAAACAGCAATTTCACTCTTAGGTATCTACCCAAGAGAAATGAAAACATATGTATGGGCAAAAAAATAAAATAAAATGTGTGCAAATGTTTATACATTGTCCAAAATAGTCAAAAGCTGAAAGCAACCCAAATATCCATCAACTGATAAGTGGATGAACAAAATGTAGTATATGCATAAAATTGAATATTATTTGACCATAAAATGGAATAAAATATCAGCACATGCTACAACATAGATGAATCTCCAAAACATTATGCTAAGGGGAAGAAGCCAGTTGCAAAAACCATATGTGATTTCATACATATGGAATATCTAGAATAGGGAAATCTTTAGAGACAGAAAGTAAGTAAATTAATGATTTCTTAGGGGTGAAGATGTGGAGGAGGATGGGGGATGATAGCTAAACCGTATGGGGTTTCTTTTTGAGGTGATTAAAATGTTCTAAAATTGGCTGTGGCAGTTGCACGCATTTTTAAATGTACTAAAAACTATTGAATTGTATAATTGTATAATTGGGTGAATTGTATGGTATATAAATTATATCTTAATAGAGTGTTAGAAAAGAGAAAAATGGCAATTAAATGGAACACTTGGTTTTGGACTGGAGCTTTTTGCAATAAAAGACATTTTGGGGAAGCTGAATGTTGTCTGGGGATTAAATGTTAGTAAATGTATCAGTGTTAACTTCCTGATTTTGATGGTTGTATTTCAGTTATTCAGGAGAAAATGCTTGTTTGTAGGAAATGCACACTAAAGTATTTGTTGGTGATGAGGCATCACTGTAGGTAACTTACTCTCAAATGTCTGGGAAAAAAGTTTTTTTGCAACTTGTCTGTAAGTTTGAGATTATTTCAAAATATAAATATACTTTGTAAAATACCTGATTTAATTTTAAAATGTCAGGCTAGGGATGGAATATTGGATTCTCTGCAACCACAGGGCACTGATAGCCCATGATCTAGCCTGCCTATGGTGGGAATAGTGGTGGTGGTGGTGGTGGTCTTATCCTTTAGCAAGTTGCATTGGGCCTGACTAATTTCTATAAGATTTTCAATTGACATCAATTTGTATGGAATTTCTACTCTAAAGCAATAGCATTGACTTTGAGAAAGAAAAGGTAAATACTATTTAATTCAATAAAAGAGAAATAGTTGAAGAAATAAATTTATTTGAAAAGGAATGCTTGTTTATTGATAGTTACATTTATTAGCAGGGAACATTAGTCAGTAGCCAGTGGAAAATATCAGACCACTTTTGGAACATGCTGCTAAAAGCCTGTGATCTCATCGTCCTTGCTTTTGTCAGTCTGGTAACCAGTAAGTGTCAAAGTTGGATTTTGTTGAGGAAGGCCTTTGAATACTTTCATGTGAATATAACTATTATCACCTACTCGCACCTAAAAGATAAAAAAAGAAAAAAAAGGAAAAGGAAATTTATTCAGATGGATCTATGTCAAGTGAAAGATCTACAGACTTAAAGACTCACCGAAATAAGCTTTTCAGGAACAGTATTTCTAGATCAGCATTCTTAGACCCTTGATTTTCATAAGTCTACCACGTTATTTTATGAGAAAGGGCAGGCTAAAGGCATGGCAAGAGGCATAAGCCCTTCATTTTATTTTATTTTATTTTATTTTATTTTATTTTATTTTATAATTTCTCTACTGCTTGGGCACAAATGAAAGTACATTTCATTTTCAAAGATGCACAAAGCAAGAAAACAAGTGACAGTCTCTTTATTGATTCTGTTTTTTGACTTCCAAATTGGGATACTTTATTTGCCACATGGTTTGAGAAGGGAGGAGAAAATCAGAATTGTCCTAGAAAATTTGGGAGGTGTGGTTCCCATATCTATATTAGAACCTACATTATAAATGCCCACTGATAGGACTGAGCAGACACCAGGGTATGGACAGTCTAGAGTCCCTTTAAAGTAAAGGGATCTTGCTGGGAAGTCATTGGTATGAAAATTGAAATGGTAGTTTGAGCATGAATCTGGGACCTAGAATATCATGGTGAGAATTTCTACTTTTGTTTTTGGTTAGGACAATAAAAGTTTTGTCTTAGAATAATATTTTTTATGTTCTGATGTCCCTTCCTAATTAACAAATACCATTTATCAAATGTTTACTATGATTCAGAGGCTATGATATAGAATATTTTATGTACTTCTTACTATAGGCCTGAACAAAGGTAGAACAATGGCAGTTTTATAGATGCAGAAGCAGATTAGGAGAGATTAAGTAATTTTCCATAAATTTCTTAGCGAATAAGTGACAGAATCAAAACCTAAATCTAGACTCCAACATTGATGTTCTTTTCACTCTACAGTGTAACTATTTTTTTTTTCATGTAGGTTCCACACCCAGCATGGAACCCAGTGTGGGGCCTGAACTCACAACCCTAAGATCAAGACCTGAGCTGAGATCAAGAGTTGGATGCTCAACCAGCTGAGCCACCCAGATTCGCCTACTGTGTAACCTTTTAAAAGTATTTATTCTGCGTTTGGAACAGGACGTCAGCCTTTGCATACGTTATTAGAAGCAGCACAGCCAGTAGTTAAGCATCAGACCACCTGGGTTCAAACCCTGGCTCTGCTCCTATAACTGAATGACCTTTGTTAGTTACTCCATCTCCCTGGGCCTCCATTTTCTCATCAGTAACACGAGGGAAATGATCATACTTATCTCATAGATTTGTTGAGAGGATTAAAAGAGAAAACACACGCTCAGCTCTTAGAACAGAGCCTGGCACATTGTAAGTGCTCAGTAAATTTCTAGCTCATTTACTCACACAACACCTGGCAAAGTCGGTTTTTATCTGCATTGTGCAGATAAAGACACCGAGGCTCAGAGAGGATGAGGGGCTGTGATCACACAGGCACTGACTAATGGAACAAGTTGAACAAGGGTTCAAACCAGAACTGTCTGACACCAAAGCCTGCACCGCATCTATTCCACCACCTGGCTTTTGATAGATACTTGAAAAAGAACACAGAAGGTCACATCAACAGAAAGACCTTAAATGTAGAGAGCAGTTCAGAGCAGAGATCAACAACTAGACAGCCAGGAAGTAATGAGGGAATTGGGGTCAGGAGTTGTAATCCCGTAGGAGAAATTGGACCAGGCAGGTGGTCTTAAGGGATGAAATTTTCAAGTTTTCTGATGAGCTTTTTAAGAAATACATGAGCTGGTTAATATATGAAATTTATGAACTTGGACTAATTGTAAATTATTAAAACAATGATCCCAATTTTGATGGAATGTTTCTTGTCTTTGAACAAAATCATTTTTAACTGGAAAAAAAAGTTATTTTTCAGCTGTGAAGAAAGTAGATTGAGAAAGGAGGAAACAGTGTCATTGCTTTCTGAGGATGAGGTGGCATCTCATTCATGTGGGCCACCCCAGGACCTGGCATATACTAGGAGCTCAAATTTGATAGGACTGGGCTGATTCATTTACATGGCCCAGTGTTGTAATTTTCCTATGCTGAGCTGGTTAGGACCTGTTATTTTATTTTTTTGCTGAAAACATTTTTTAAACATTTTATATCTTAAGTAGTTAATTGTTAAAGAGAAATAAGCCAGACTATGCCTTGGTCAAATGGTTTTGTAAAGATCCAAGTACATATATTTGAATGTCTGTTGTTATTATTTATTAAATCAGAATTACCATCTCAATACAAAAGGATGAAGATGGTTCTCAAATATCTATGGTTGACTTGTTGAATTGGTTCCCTCTCAACTTTGCAAACATTTTCTTCAATCAGAACTGGATAGTGCATCATTTAATTCATTGATATAGCTATAAAATTAAAATTATTTTAAATGCTCCACTGTTTTAAACTACACCTATAGTGTCACAAATTGAATCTACTTACTTGAATTGCAAAAATTATTTAAATTTTATTAATCAGAATGCTGTGTAAAGGGCAAAAGTAGCTTCAATTATTTTCCCACCTTAAACTACTTTAAGTCATTTCTAAAATCCATTTAATTTAGACACATAGAATCACAAAGCTTTGAGTGGAATAAGCTTCAAGATAGCATCTGGTCCAGCTCCAAGCCTTCAGGCAATTGAGATATTCTCTCACTTCACACAAAAAGCGCCATGGCCACAAACTGAGCATGCTTGGAACCATTAGGAAATCTCTTTCTATACAATTTCTGAAAATTGTAATTTGTAAATTGTAATTGTAATTTGGAAGGAGTCAATATAGGAAACCTTTCTAAGTTCACAGGAAACAGATGGTATAAATATATCATCATCTGCCAAATTTGAGAGTCTACCACTTGGGAAATTTCATGCTAGGGAAGCATCTTCATTTAGGACAACCGGAAGGGACAAAATACATGGTAAGGGTGCAGGGAACATCACATAAAGTGGGAAATGCAGTATCTCTTAGTGCCAAGGTGAACCCAACAAGGATGTTGAACTCTAACCTTAATGTAGTAATTTATTCCAGCAACCACTTGAGTTTTATACTCTACAGCTTCAAACTCTTGGTAACTCTCATTTGTTTTTTCTTCAAGCTGAGGTTTAACCTTAAGAAGAGAAAAGAGGAAATACATTATTAAAGCTATAATGGACTCCATTTATGTGATTTACAAGTCTGGGAACCTTGTGCTTCTAAAGATGCTCAAACATGATAATGAGAGCTATTTTCAGTATTTCAAGGAAAAGAAAAGATCTACCTTTAATAAGATTACATGGGCTAACTAAAACGTTAAATTTTGTTGCTTTAGGCTGAATTTGCATCAACTCAGTGTGGTAATATGACAGTATGGTAATGTTTTCACTAGTAAAACTCTGATATATATGTCTGATTAATAAAAATAGAGCAATAATTACTATTTCACTTAAATTTTTTTATTTTGAAGTAATTTCAGACTCAAAGTTGCAAAAATAGTATAGTATATCTCAAGATCCTTGATCTAATCACATGTACAATTTCCTTTGCCATGTAAGATAGCACATTTACAGGATTCAGGGATGAGGATATTGGCCACCATTCTGTCTACTACAGAGAGATTATAAGCTTTGGTGCCAGCATGCCTGAACCCGACCTGACAAGGGAATGGAGAGTCTCAAATTCAATATGTGAACTTTTACTGGATCTACCAGTTTTCAGTATCGGTCCTTCATTCCTGCCGTCAGCTGAGCCTGGTATTTCTAGTTTCCACTGTGTTCTCTCTGACTCACTTTCTGTTAAGAGTAAATCTCCAGAATTCTGCTAGCTTGGAAGATAGTGAAAGGGAAAGATCTGGGGGTGGCCGAACTGCTCCTCAAACAGATCCACTATCAGTTCTCCTGGCATTAGCCCCATGCCTCACTTTCATCTTCCTACGTTTCTGGCATTGCTAGTGCTTGAGCCATTTTGGAACTCTGCACCGTGAATCCGCTTGCTGCTGGCTCATCACTCCCCTCTATGGTTGGGCTCCATCTAAGTGGCCCAGTCATTTTCCATTGTTTATCTGTTTTCCATTTTCCAAGGTTTGGTCAGTATTTCTGAGGTGGTGTTTGCCTATCGCCTGTTGTCCTTCTATGTGTGGTTTTGTGCCCTTTCCCTCCTAATCTTTTCCTATCATTTAGAGGGAAGAGAAAATAGATGTGTATGTTCGATACACCTTGTTTATTGGGAAGTTGCCTCCCTTCCCTTCACTAAAGCATTTTACGTGTTTCAGGCAGGAATCCCATGCATCTAGGTTCTCCCACGGCCATTCAGTCCTTCCCATCAGTGGGCAGACGTATTGAATCCTTTTCTATTGGCCCCTTGGTTTGAGTACCAGAACTGGTTTTCAAAGATGTAAACATTTTGCAACTCTGAGTTCTCAGACCACTTTTGAGGGTACAAAACCTCAGGGACCAGCACCTATTTCTCCTGTGACTTTCAGAATAGATGGGAAGAATGTGCTATTGCTTTCTTGAGATGGAAAATGAAGCTCCAAAGTGGAGAAAGGAAGAAGACAAATCATAAGGGGAAAAACAAAACAAAACAAAACAAAAACAGAAATGGGAAGAGGTGGGGTGCAGGAAAGAGGGAAAAAAGGTAGACAGGAGTGCAGAGAGAAGTCAAGTAAGGAGAGGAGTTACTGTCCTATTGCTTCCCCTGTCTAACCTTTCTGAGCCAACACTGGGTACCAGTCAATTTAGGAGCTGAGTTGGAAAGGGTTAATCTCTAAACACAAAATTATCTGTTTAAACCTCATTTTACAAATGAGGGACCTGAGGAAAACATGACTACTTGATGCTGAAAAATTATTAATTACAGTTATTTAAGGTTTTCAATCCCTTGCCTGATAGTTTAAATATCTGATTTATCTGTTGCAGTGATCTGTATTCCTTCTGGTCTCCAGTTTTTGGTCGTGTTTTTTGTTTGTTTGTTTTACCACATATCAGAAAATTTTATTTCTATTTGTCCTAAAAAATAGATCAAAATCTGTAACCTTTCCACTGCATCTGTGAAATCTACAAGTCCAGAATTTTCCACAAGAGAGCAGATTTCCAATGTCCTGGTTTGTTTTGGTAAGTGCACTGGTGCCTGTCAGACTGTGTGCCATGATTTCAGGTTCACTGTACTTATAACCTGTAGCCTTGCTCTCTCTTGCCAGTAGAACAGACTGGTATTCTTCTAATGTTGGATGTTATGAACCTGGAGTGATGAGGTCTAAGCAGAGAAGCAGGAAAGGGGGCAGAATAGGAAGGAACTGGTCAGTGAAACCTTAATTTTCAGAAGGCAGCTTGGTGCTGAAAGACCGCCCAGGGATGGGTGCTGGGAGGGTGGAGGCCAGCTGGGAGTGGTGGTCTGGGACCTGGTGGTACAGAGACAGACCTTGAGCTGAACACAGTTGGTGTTCACCTTCCCCAGCCTTCCACGCATGGTGGTGGCTGAGATGCTGGAAGAAACTGTAAGGGTTTGTTACTTGGGCCCCAGCCAGGGGAAGGATGCTTTCAGGGAGGAGCAGCTGGTAAAATACAATTACCCTAGAGCTGTTCAAGATATTTTTATTGTTGCAGAGCATGAATCTAGGTGAGTTGTTATTAGTTCTCTGGGATCTGAGGATTTGAGCCACGCTGCACCCAACACCAAGGCATTTTCCCTATCTATAATCATTCTGCAGAAACATTGGACTATGTATAATTTAAAGAAGAATGGATAGAAAGGTGATAGTGGCAACATAGGTAGGCCATATTTTGGGATGTTTTACAGAGTAAGGAAGGAGAGTGTGGGTATGGTACGAAAGTATAGTAGGACCAATGAGAAGTGACTTATAGACATTTGTCATCTGACTACGTATTTGAGGGAAGGGGCAAGTGTGGGGCAAGGCACCTGGTATGCAAGAAATGATAGCACCCCACATAAGAGAGGAAGGGCAGAGTCTTAGACTGGAGGGAGAAATGAGATCCAGCAAGGGATAAGGAAATTGGGAGTGTTCTTGTACCAGATGACCGCAATCTTTTAAGAGAAGGAACTGAGATACCGGCTGGAGGGGCCATGGGGACGGGAGGGATTGAGAAACCAAGGAGAGAGAAGGCCCAGGTCCACCTCTCTGGGGTTTCTAGAAAAGGGCCAACAGGATGTCACTGAAAGAATGTTTCGGCAGCCCTAGGGTCCTGTTGTGGTTGTTTGCTGGCACGCATTCATAGATTGGTACTGAGTTTCTGTGGTTCTGCAACTTCCTTGAGCAAAGTTCTCTGAACCTGGAGCAGAAGCTGAAGAGGAAGTGGTGGCAATGGGAGTGATCTCTAATTGAGGATTGGAATGCCAGAATTTCATGAGGTCCACAGAAATCAGGGGTGGAAGTGTGCATGAAGCCACCCATCATGGGTCCAGTCTGGATGAGCACTCAAGTGGGCCTAGGCATGTTCTGATGATGAAGATGGGAGGGTGAGGGCCTGAAAGATTGTGGTGTGGCTGAATGGTAGGTTCTCTGGGTGTGGGGCAGTGGGAGAGGTGATTGATGACGAGGCTGTGGTCAGAGAGGAGAACACAAATGTGTGGGTGAGTGACAGCTATGACATGCTCAGCTCCGGGGTGTGGTGTCCATGATGGTATGCAGAGAGGGTGTTTGTATGGTGTTATGGTCTGTGTGGATTCCAGGAATGGCATTTAGCAATTAGGTTTGACTTAGGGGTGTGTGTGTGTGTGTGTGCACGCACGCATGTGTGTGTGTTGTGTGTATCTACCTGTGCATGCGTAATAATAGCCCTCATTTCTGAAAATAATTATTGAAATAACAGTTCTTTCCTGCACATAAACATACTCTGGAATTACCATCCCAATTCTCAGGCCAAGTATAGCTCTTTATTTCTTGAGTGTATCTCTTCTATCTATTTTGTAAATTTCTCTAAAGGCAAGAACCATCTTTGTGTCCCTTCTGTCCCTATAGCAATTCACACAGTACTGTGTACATAATATTTTCTGAATGAAGAAACCAGGGTTGTTTTTCTTCATGACACCTTGTCTTCCCACAAAGGAAAGCGGATAGAAGAGGATAGCAGAGACCCTCAAGTAATACAGAGACTCCTGGGAAAGGGGATTTCTTTCATGTGTACTCAGGACCCAAGTACCATTTGCATCCTTTAGTGATACATGATACACACCTACCATTCAGTCTCCGTTATCTTCAGAATGGGGACACTCTTTTCTCCTGCCTTCAGAAATGTTCAAGTCTCCTCAAACCCAAGCTCTTTGATTTTCTTCTCTTTCTGACCTCATCCAACATCCCTCTTTCATTTTTTTTAAAGTTTGTTTGTTTATTTATTTATTTATTTATTTATTTATTTATCAGAGAGAAAGAGAGAGCACGAGCAGGGGAGTGGTAGGCAGAGGCAGAGGGAGAAGCAGGCTTCCCGCTGAGCCCAGTGTAGGACTCGATCCCAGGACTCTGGGATCATGACCTGAGCCGAAGGCAGACACTTAACCTACTGAGCCACCCAGGCTTCTCTCCCTCTTTCATTTCAAATGCCTTGAACCTGCAGTTCTCATTTTTTCTTTGATGCTTTCCCCTCTCTATGAGATGGCCTTCCCTTCTTTCCCAAATGGAGTTCTTCCTTCAGCTGGCATTCCACTAAGAAGCTCTCTATTAAGGACAAGGAAAGCTGATAAACCTCAGCTCCTCTAAGAATACCTGCATTTTAGCAGGTGATTTAAAAAAAAATTAGAATACATTAAAGAATCAAAGGGATAAAATTACAAGGTAAATGACAGGTAGTGGTGGTCTTCCTTGGGACCACCTCAGATCATACTAAGTGTATGACTACGAACACTTACCCATTTACCTGACTCTGACTGGGCACCTAACTAATTCTATAATCTTGGAGAAGGTGTTGATTATATTTCTTCACCTACAGGTGGTTTTGGTAATACCTGCCTCTTGGGGTTGTTTGTAGGGAGATAAATTTTATCATTGATGGGAAAGTGCTTCCGATATTGACCATTCTTCTGCCTTCTAATACTTAATTGGGAATTGTCCCCTAAGGTTCTCCTGGGAGAGGGGAACCAAATGATAACTGGGAGCTTAATACCTGTGAAGCTGAACTACTACACAGTAATTATTCACTTGAAAGTTAGGAGCTTTGATGGGCAAACTCTAATGTCCTTCCTGGTCCCAAACCTATGATAAAAAAATGTTCCTAATTGGAGATTGTTTTATTATGTTCCAGTTATCTTGACTTCTCTAAATGGACTCTAAACCCCTTGAAGGCAGGGGCCATGTCTTAAAGTCCTTATGTATCTTCTATAACATTTAACACAATGCTGGACACCTAAGAGATAGTCAAGAAATGATTCATTGATATTCATTTCTCAAACTGATTGAAATCTGAGGCTGGCTGCTCACACAGAGAAGGCAATTTGCCATACCATGTATTTCCCTCAACCCACATGCTTCTCCATGTTCCTGCCACTGTATAGAGGAAAAGGCAGGTGGTCAAAAATCTGAAGATAGGCTAGTTTCTTAACTAGGCAGATATTAACCTCTTTGAATCTCAGTTTGAAATCTCATCTGAGATATGGACATGATGATTTCCTTCCCTGCACCAGGGGTTATGAAGACCAACTGCAATGCACCTTTCTGGAGTGATGTAGCTATTGTTAATCCCTATCTCTCATTCTACCTCCTTGACAGGGTTGGAGCCTGAGATGAGCAGCAAGAAACACACTTTCAAATTAATTTCATAATTTAAGATGTGGTTCACAGATGGTTGTTTTTAACAATGCAAGGCCTTCTTATAGGTTCTTACTAAAAAAATTATTCTTGCTAACCAAGATAGGCTTTTTAAAAATCATTAAAATTTTCTGCACACTCTCTATATAGAATCTTTGTTATTCCCCATCTCCCTTGGAGCTCCGGTTCCTGGAGAATCTCAGGGGGATTTTCCAGGGTCATGGGTAATTTTGGGCAAAAATTTGAAGCAAATAACTGTGATGCCTCACCTATGCATATTTCTTTCTTGTTTTCAAGTCACTGTTATGCACATCACCTTGTGTAGTCCTTACAGCTCTGATATCAGCAGAGCAAGAGGTGTGATCTTCATCTCACAAACAGAATTGAGAATTTTTTTCAGTGCTCTGCTTTTATTTTTTATTTAATTTTTAACAAGATTTATCTATTTATTTTAGAGAGGGAGAGCAGTGGGAGGGGCAGAGGGAGAAGGAGAGAGTCTTAAGCAGACTCTGTGCGGAGCGCGGAGGCTGACGCAGGGCTCAATCTCAGAATCCTGAGATCATGACCTGAGCTGAAACCGAGAGTCAGAGGCTCAACCGACTGTACCACCCAGGTGCCCCCAGTGCTCTGCTTTTAGAAAGCCCATCTCCCATAGGCCTCTTGGATTTATGTATCTCCAGATCTGCCGGGCAGTGATGTCATGGACAGCAGCATGGGCATCACCTGGGAGCTGGCTAGAAATGCAGGCTCTCAGGCCATATCTACTGAGTCAGAATCTGCATTTTAACAAGACCCCTAGGTAATGTATGCATACATTGAAGTTTGTGAATACTGACCTGTACATTGAAATTTGAGAATACTGACCTCAAATAAAGGTATTAATGATTTAACATTACCCTTTGCAAGAAAGAAAAGCTCCAAAGTATCTATTTTTTAAAAGAACTCTTGAAAAGGAAACATTTATCCCCAAAGAATGAGTGATAGAATTCCAGACATCGCATCTCTAGAGAGCATTCCAGAGCCCTAACATAGAAATCCTATCTCTTTCACTTACGCAAGAGGCCAGTCTTGTTTGCCAGTGTCATAGAAGGAAGTCTCAGAGAGAAAAAACAAGGAATGATACAAGAAAATAGGGCAACAATTTACAAACCTAAAATGGTAATTTATATATATTTTCTTTCATAAAATATGCAGTATAATAAAATTTTATCATATAGGTGATAGCTAATCAAACAACACTTAGAAAAATGTATCAACTTGCTAAAAACGTTGAGTTCTGTTTTCACCATAATCAGTTTCAGAATCACCACAATGTCACTCCCCTTCCCTAGTAGTTTAATCATCTTCTATATACAAAGAGACTAAAATTTTTTCTATTTAGTCAAATTGGCAGGAAGTTTGTAAGTGGATTGTCTTTGCAATATTGTTCTTCATTTAACCCATTTAAAAAAATTTCCGCACAGAGTGCATGAAGTTTAGTTTGTCAAATTGTTAACAACCTCAGACTTTAATTACATGTTGGCTCTGTTTGGTAAGATTAGAATCTTCATCAGAAACTGAATTAGTAATCCTAGAATCATACATTGTAAGCCTATAAAGATGACCCAATATAAATTCTTTTATAAATGGGGAAACTGAGGTTCAGAGAAGGTGTGTTACTTGTTCAAGACCACTCTCATAGTTGAGATTATTAGAGGTTTCAACTGAAAAGTTTTTAGTTGTAAGGAAGCCTGAACAAAACCACACATTTCCCAATGTTCTTCTGGTTTTCATGTTCACCCACACGCTTAACACAGCCCACCTAGGAACCAAGATTTTGGATCAATCCTTTTCATGAGATACACCAACTCACCTCCTTAGCAATCTCCTGGATTTCTGGAGTGGCAGGTTTGGCTTCAGTTAAGCCTCCAGGTATCATTTTGGCTAATTGCTTCTTTGCTAGGCAGGATGCTGGAACTGAAGTGATCAAGGAAGCGTGGAGACTCTGGTTTTTAAAGAGGGTGTTGCTCAACAAGCTCCGCCTCCAGAAGGTTTTCTTTTTCACAAAGAGCAAAAAGGCACAGGGAAAATGAATATGTCTTGAAGTAAGCCATGCTGCTTCCTCAACAGAGTATGCCAGTAGTAATTTGGGAGAATGAGGGCTGAGGATGAACAAATGGGTGTGCCCAGCGAGTCAACTACGTCATCACAGGGAGTCAGACTTCCCTGCCTGCATTCTCTTGGACAGTGATTCCATCCTGGTGCATCTGAGGAATGAAATCTGGAGCCACGACCAGAGTTTCCCACTGTTTTAAACCTCTAATACTAAATTTTATATTTTAAAGGTATATTTATTAATAATGTCAAGACTGATTGTTTAGAATTTACTTGACTCTATAAAGAAAGTAAAAGTGTCTGTCTGGAGAACCTTGGCTGGATATTTGTATTTTACTGTTTGCTTGCTTGCTTTTACATTTCTAGAACTGTAGAAAAATACAAAGAGTAAAACAACAAGCACCTATATTCCTATCACCCAGATTTAAAACTTTTAACATTTTATCTTACCTACTTTCCCTTTTTTCTTTCCTTTCCTTCTTTTTTTTTTCTTTCTTTTTTTTTGGTAGTTGTTTTTAAGAAATACAATATTACCAGCCTCCCATTCCCACCCCCCACCCCCCAACTTTGCCCTCCACAGAGGTAAACTACACTGTGAGTTTGGTATCCTTCTAGCCCATTTTATACATTTACTTAGTGTGTTTTTTAAAAATTTACTTAAGTTGTATGCTAAATATATACTCTATATATGCTTTTTTCCTTCTCAACATGTTTTTGAGTTGTTCCATATTGACACACAGATAGATCAATCTAGTTTATTTCCTTTAACTGTTATTTGGTGATAGACTGATCTATCTATCATCTATCTATCTATCTATCTATCTATCTATCTATCTATCTATCTATCATCTATCTATCTATCATCTATCTATCTATCATCTAATCTCTCTAACTACTATATGCTATTCCACATTTTACATACTTATTCCCCTACTGATGAAGACTTTGGTTCTTCCTAGTTTATTACCCTTATAAACAATATTGCATTTTTTCTCTTTTGTCCATGTGTGACAGCTTCTGGAGGGAAATTATCTAGAAGCAAAATTACTGCTTTATGTGCAAATTTATCTGCATTATTTTATTCAATTGTTGGAATATATAACATGTATACATGATAAGAATATTCAAAAGGAACAAAAGAGTTTACAGTATAAGGATTTCTTCACCCACTCTATTCCTCAGCCACCCTTCTATTCTCTAAAGACTATTGTCACCAGCTTCTGTATCCTTCAGAGATATTCTTTACATGTACAGATATATAAATAATTAACTACACACATACATATACATATGTATATACTTTTCTTCTATAAATGGTACAAATGGTACCCTACTTATCCTTATTATATGCTTTGCTTTATCCCTAACAATATATTTTGGAGACTGTTTTATATTATTATATTATACATTAATACTTTCATGTTATAATTAATTAATATGTAATATAAATTATATATTAGAAAGGTGCTTCATTCTTTATAAAGTTCGGCAGGTGCTTGACAAATGTTTGGAGCTAGGTGGTTGTCTGACTGGATAATCTAAGGGGTGCTATGCAGATGGATGTGCATGGAATGCCCTCATCCATGTATTGAGAAAAATAGCAAAGGTGAATGACATGGTGCTCAATCAAGAGGCCACAAGTCATCCTAAGACTTAGCTCTGGCCACAGATAATCCTTGACATCTTCCTGTGACCTTTCTAAGTCAGGTCCTCTCATATCCAGGCCTTCACCCTTTTTTCAAGGCCACAGTCAATTTCTGCCTCTTTGTTCACCAACTAGTTCGGGTGGTACTTATCTAATCTCCCCAGTGGTCAGGCATGGGGTAAGCAGCATATCTTCTGTTCTCTTTCTCGAGTCTATGCCTGGTACTCTTGGGTATTCCCTGCTGGTTCTCAAAAATTTCTTTTAGAAGCAAAAACTGACCCAAAGCAAATATTGCTTTTGTCTTTGCATTTCTACTATACCTAGCTCTTCTCAAGGTGGTACGGATGTCTCTGATAGGGAAGAGTCACATAGACGGAAGTGCAGAAAAGAAAAGCACAAAAATCAATATTTCTGTTAATAAAAATTAAAGCGACAAAGAGAGACTAGAAGTTGCCTCTGGCTGGGAGTGGGAGAAAGGATCTACTGCAAAAGGGCACAGGAAATGTTTTCAGGAGATGGGACTGAACTGTTCTGTATGTGGATTGTGGTGGTGGTTATGCAATGGTACACAGTTACCAAAATTCACCAAATTGTACACTTAACATGGGTGGACTTTATTGTATGTAAGTTATACCCCCTCAAAAAAAGCTGAGGTAAAAAAGCACTACCTTTTAAACACCTTGTTGTTGTGTCTCTTGGTCTTGCTTTTATACTGCTTCCTCTAATATTTTCTTAATTTGAATTTGAATTGATTCCATCTTAGTAAGTCAACAATAATTTAAACTTCTGTCTTGTTACTTCACTAAGAAGCCCAAGAGCCTCTCCCATAGTAGTCAGATGTTAGCTACCACGAAATACAATTATTTTTCAAATATGGTCTAAGACAGAGCTTTTTTTTGTATTACATAATTTATAATTTCTTTCTGGGAAGAAATTAGCTTTGCTGATAACATACTTAAGCAATTTTCTGATGAACTTTGATAGGATTAAGACTTGTTTGGCAAATCCAAATATTTTCTTATAAAATAACTAGTTACTTTTTATAAATGATACGAATAAGTTTCTCATACCTTTCAGAAGACTACAAAACTCAGGCTTCCCTTGTCAGCATTAGGGATGGACAAGGGCTTTGTGGAAAACTGCAGAACCAGCCCTCGAGGAGGGGTTGGCCAACACTGCGATTGAGGAAAGTCATGTCAGTCCTGCCACTAAAATCAGGGTAGACCAGGAGGAGGGGCCATGACAGTGGGAGGTGGGAGGAGGATCCGGAAGGAAGGTGAGGAAGCTTCAGTAGAAGGGAGGAGAGTTGGGGGCCAGCAGCCCCCGTCCAGTGGGTGTTTTTATGTTAGAGATGCACGTGGGCTGTTGAGGCAGTTGGTGGGTGGCTGCCTGTGACCATGGCAGACCCTCAAAGAATCCAGTGCCATCAACACTCATGTAACTAGAATCTCTGCTCTTGCTGCTCTACACCAACTTCATATGCAGGGCAAATGGTTTCTTTCTCAAATTCAACTTTTGTCAGTCTTTCCTGCCCCCAAGTTAGTGTGGTGGTTTTCAAATTGCCCTCAAGGGACTCTAAAGGTTTCCCAGAGCTCCCCTGGCGCCTAGAGGCAAGGGTGTGAGGAAATGGGGGAAGGGGAAAGAACAGTTAGCTACCCATAAAGGCTTTGCCTCTGCTCTTTGCTTCAACCAGAGCGGTGTGGCTAAGTACAGAGAAGAGGGAGTTCTCTGAAAGAATTCTTTTCAGAAGGAGTGCTCTATTCTTATGAAACAATTTCCTTGTCCAGGCCTTTGGGGGAGAAAGCTGTGACTCTGTGATCTGGGTGTTGTTGGCTGGCGTCTTGGCTTGAGAAAAGCAGTTTTTATTCTGCATTCAGAGAGAAGGGGAGACAGTTCAGCTAGCCAGGTGTCAAGAGAGCCAGGCTGTACTTTATGATGAGGCCACTTTCTGTGACTTTGAACCTCAAACTTGCAAAAATTTGACCCAACTTACAAAATGCTTGGTAGGAGTGTTTTGTTTTTTTTTTTTTTGAGAGGGAGCTCGTTGTCAGAGTTTCATGCCTGAACTGCTGTGTAGCAAAATAGAGTGGACAGAAGGGAATAAAAAGAGTGAGCCCTTAGGGCTCAGCCAAACTCCTGGGGGAGGCATAGAGTTTCCTCCTCTCCAAACTGGATCTCTTTGGCTGGGGAGTTCCCAGTTCCCATCTGGATTGCATATATTTGGGGCTTCATGTGGGATTCTTTCCCCTGCCCACACTTTTTTTTAAATTGAAGCACAATTTATATGTGGCAAGAAGCACATGTTTTTAGTGCATAGCTCAATAATATGTGCTTAAATTTTCACAGTTGTATACACCCATATAATGTTATAGAATATTTTCATCATCCCAGAAAGTTCCTTCATATCCCTTCCCAGTTACTACAGTCTGTTCAACCAGTATTTTTCCAGTTTTTAAATTTCATATAAGTGGACTCATACTGTAGATTTTCTTTCTTAAAATTTAAATTCAATTTAGTTAACATATAATGTATTATTAGTTTCAGCGGTAGAATTTAGTGATTCATCAGTTACATACAACACCCAGTGCTCATTACATAACATGCCCCCCTTAATGCCCATCACCCAATTATCCCTTCTGCCTACCCACCACCCTCCAGCATCCCTCAGTTTGTTCTCTATAGTTGAGTCTCTTCTGGTTGCCTCCCTCTCTGTTTTTATCTTATCTTATTTTTCCTTCCCTTTTCCTATATTCATCTGTTTTGTTTCTTAAATTCCACATATGAGGGAAATCTCATACTATAGATATTCTTTTGTGTTTGACTTCTTTTGTTCAGCAAAATGATTTTGACATTCACCCATGTTGTTGCTTTTATCAAATGGTTTGCTCCTTTATTTCTGTATGGTATTTCATTGTATGAACATGCCATGTTTTTTTATTCTACTGATGGGCATTTTTATTTTTGGCTATTTTGAATAAATCTACTATAAATAAGTCATTTCTCTTGAGTGTATACCTAGGAGTGGAAATCCTGGGATATAAGGAAGGTGTATGTTTAACTTTATTAGAAACTGCCAAATAATACCATTTTAAACTCCTGTCAACAATTCATGAAAGTTCTGGTTTCACCATCCACTTCAAAAATTGGTATCGTTATGTTAGTCTTTTTAATTTTAGCCA